TCTGAACGTCTGTTCGCTATACTTACGCGGGTTTCGGATTAAAAATTTTATGAGTATTTCCAGGTAACTACCCGAAAGTTTGGCCTGTTCTTTGGGGAAATATCAACTGGTTAAATGAAATGAAAAATAATGTACAACTTTTTAATTAAATAATAATGGAGAATCTTTTGTATAATTGAGAGCAGAATTAAACTTCTTCATTATAATGTCTAATAATGTCTAATATTATAAACCTAATAATAATTTTATATTACACTTCACACAGAAAATATGGTCTATGTATAATAAGAGGGTTATTTAGATCAATAAATTATTTTCTAACATAAAAATTTGTTTCATGTAGAGAATTTCAAATGAAGAATAAAAAATTGAACTTGCCAACAAAAATATAATCGTCATCATCATCACTGTCATCACCATTAATTGTTATGATTGGACTTATTTCCTTTATTTTATTTTCACGAGTCCACCAATCTTCTATTAGTTTCTCGCACTTGGATATACAGTTCCGCCACACTTCTGGAGTTGCAATTGAAAGTTTCCCGAACTGCGTCGTCACTATAACCATTGGACCCAATATGGTTGTCATAATATTGTTTTGCTATTCCCCATATATATTGGATGGGATTAAACTGGCAATGATACGGTGGCAGACGTAAAACTTTATGACCGAAACTTTCAATAATCTGATCCACAACAAAGGTTTTTGGTTTTGCGTGTATATTTGCCAAGCGTAATAATTCTGATTTTAATATATATTGAGGAAATGGTATATGTTGCTTTGTTAACCATTCTTTAATTTTATCAACAGTCCAAGAATTCGGTGGACTTTTGTTTAATACTTCAGAATTATAAGGTGCATTGTCTAAAATAATTACGCTGGGCTCACTTAAACCTGGAAGAAGTTTTTCATGCAACCATTTTAAAAACATTTCTGTGTTACTATTATCGTGATAGTCACTGGATTTTGATTTAGATGAAAATATTAAATCAGCACCTTCTATAAAACCCGATTTCCCTCCTGCATGTAATCATCTTGCCATATTCTCTTGGTTGCACTCCTAGAAAATATCCATGTTTCGTCTAAATATATAAAATTCGCCCCTTCTTCTTTAAATTTAGAATATTTTCTTAGAAAGTTAATTCTCTTGTGCACGACAGAACTTCTTTCACAAAGGGTCTTTCTGTTATCCTCCTTTTGAAATTTGAAACCCAAGTTATGTATCACTTGCCATAGACTTGTTCTGGTTGTCAATGACTAATTTGCATAATTTTGTTAATCCGAAACCCGCGTAAGAATAGCGAACAGACTGTAGTTTTAAATTCCGAACAAGTTTTTTTAACAACAATTTTCGATATTGTTAAAAATAAAGATACTTTACTCCTACATAAAATTCATATGTTTCGACAAACCTCGTATATGTCTGAAAAATTTTTATATCTGATAATTTTTGGTTTTAGACCATATCTACATTTTTATAAAGAATAACTTTGTGTGCAACTACAATAAAAAAAATTCACATTTTGGGTCGACTTAAGTAGACACACTGTACAAATAGTGAAGACTAACTTTTAAAAATTATATCTAGTCTTGCACATTCGAGAAAAAGAAAAAAACAACATAATACTCTAAAAAAAACTTTTATACATGACAATAACAGAACTGACGCATGTGTCAAAGGCAAGCCCGGATCTGGAAATATTTTTCGGATGGGGGTAAATAATTTTATTACCGATTTATTAGTTTAGTAAAATCTCGTTGTTTTTGGATTACAATTTAATAAATTCTAGAATTTCTTCGAGTAGCTCAATGAAGGTAATTACCCTATTAACACCCCCTCGTATCCGCGCCGGGTAAAGGAAACTTATAGTTTTTTTTTAAACAGATGTATGATTTCAGTGGTATCCTGTTTTTAACTGAATTTTATTCCCAAATCTGTGGTAGCTACGTGTAAACGCAATTTTCGTATATACTGTATACTATTATATACAAGAAATTTCCCTTTGTTTGGACACCCTTTCTATTGTCCTGATCTTGGATCAACTGAGGGAAAGGCGATTTGACACTCATGATGTTTTAATTGCAGCTTGACTCCTTGTTTATTTTATTAGATTACCTATCTACTTGTCAACCATTGAAATTCATTATATCGAATCAATTCATTGTATCTATTAGATTTCTTATTTTTAATGGAGAAAGATTAATCACTAATGATGATATTAAAATTAACTACATTTATTTGCTGCAAATTTATTTTCTACATGTGGCTTTTTTTAAATTTTCGAACAGAAAACCTTGAAAATAATAATGTTATAATAATCTATAGAAAGGTTTCCCTTTTTATTTAATATAATAAATTATACAAATTAATTTAATCCGCATTGACATTTAAAAAAATCATTTTTACACCTTTTCCTTCAGAAAGTTTTTTTTTGTAAAAAAAAAAAACACAACAAAGGTTGATAGATATCCAAGAGGATTGAAAATAAAATGCACAATAAATAATTGATTATTGTTATTTAATTGCAGGCTTTGAATGAATTAATTATAGAAACGTTCATTCAAAGTGCATATAAAATTAATTTTGCATAAGAGGGTGTTGCAAATTATTTTGCATAATTAAAATTTAAGAAAAATCTGACTTGGGTACATGTGTTGGAATTACTATCTAATATAAGAAAAGAAAATATGTTTTTTTATATTACTAATTATTAGAATTACACAATTACATAATTGTTTTAAGACCATGACAGAATAAAATCTTAAAAAATTTTATAACCGTTTTACTATTGTAATATTTTTTTATGATTTATTTATAGCTTATTTTAGAAAATATGCATTAAGGTACATTTATATCTGACATTTATTGCATGAGATTTATGTCTGACAGTTGTTTATTCCAGTGTAAACACACAAAAATTTCTCTCGGACATATATTTTTGAGTGTTTACACTGGACTAAACAACTGTCAGACATAAATATTATGCAACAAATGTCAGATGTAAACGTACCTTTACATTTCATTGCATATTACATCATCGTTTCTTAATCTTTTTGAATAGAACGCTTTTTAATATCCTCTTTTATCGTTAAGCCCCTTTTTGTGTAACAATAAATAAACTATTTAAAAATCCATACAAGCAGTGGCGTAGCCAGTAGTTTTTCATGGGAGGGGTTTCTGAAAACTATGGGGACGGTTAACAAACAGTTAATAGCGAACAGCGCCAATAAGATAGCGGAAACCGTAACGTGAAGGTCCTCCAGGGGAGGGTTCTGACTCCCCAACACCCTCCCCTCTCTCCGTGGCTGCATACAAGAATAAAAAAAATAATTAGTAGAAAGTTACATATTTATTATTTTTTTACAAATATAACATTTAATGTTCTTCTTACATGAGCCAAGGGCTAAGCTTTGCAAAATTTTGTAAAATTTCGTACAATTTTGTAAAATTTTGTGACGGTACTTTTTTGATGAATGTGAATGTTGTCGCACGAGCCGTATGCGAGTGCGACAATCACATGAGTCAAAAAAGGGACTTTACACACGAGTGGCATACAATTTTTTTTCTACTACCGTACACATAATCCACTAATATTAGAAATATAAAAGTTACTTTTCTTCACTAGTGAAAAAAGTACTTTACTTTACGCACTAGTGAAAAAAGTAAAATGTGCCAAAAATTGTACACAGCAACAAAAAATACCATATTGTAATGTTACAAATAATTTATTAAACATTAGGAAATATCTTGACGTTTCGCATGTAAAACTCCAAATAAATGCTATTGTAAAAAATATAAAAGTTTTAGGTATAATGTGCTGCCTAACAACCCCGGTGGCCTGTTAGGATTTTGTTAGGCAACACACCATACGAACACACATCTCGTTGCAAAACTTTACAGAATATTTTAATTTTATACTGAGCATTCAAGCATTTACTGAGGCATTTACTTACTTTGATCATTAAAAACTTGGAATCTGGAGCTTTCAACAGAAAATTCATTAGATCTTCTCGTTAAAAAATTTTGGATTTTTTTGGTTTATAACTTTTATTTTTTTGTTTGAGAAACGCTATTAACTTGTTGAATTTCGAAATATCAACGTTGTTTTTATATTTTAAGGTGCTTTTAAGCATATAATAAATCGACCATAGGGTAGAAGCTTTGCAATTCTTCAATTCATCAGAGAAATATGCTAAAATAACGTTTTCCGAATATTTTGTCACCTTATTCTTCCTACAGCATTCTATAAATTTTTGCTGATGAATATATGCAGATTTTTCTGGCAATAAATTTTCAGTGGCCTTTTGTGCACTGCATAAGATATCTGGGGGAGTATTATCAAATTCGCTATCGCTAGATAAATTTGAATCCATATCGATTATGACAGATATAATAAATTGCAAATAAAATTTGAATTTAAGTAAACAAACATTAAAAAGTAAAACTTTTTCCCTTCTCAAACTTGATTGAGTTTAAAAAAATGCTAAATTGGCTTTATAATCTAATCTTGAACTTAAGTATACTTTTGTCGTGTTCTGTTATAAGGTAGGTACTAATTAAAAGTTTAGAGATTGACAGTTCTTCTAATCCACACAGCCACGGCCAACTTACTTTTACCAAAATCGACATCCACTGTATGTTTACTTTTAATTAAATCGATGACATTTAGAGAAAATTATAATTAAAATAAACTGTTGATAATTTGTTGGACACCAAATAGATATAAGCAAAAATAATTTATTTATTTGTCTTAGAAGGAGATAGCAAAAAAATGTTAATATAAAATAAAACGTTATATTTTGTTGGTATGTACAAATTTTGTCAAATTTTACTTTTTTTAACTAGTGCGTAAAGAGTTTTACTTTACGCACTAGTGAAAAAAAGTACAACTTTACACACTTCGTGGAGTACGTAAAGTACGTACTTTACGCACGGTAGTAGAAAAAATGCAATATTCCTACATAGCATCGCATTAATTAGTATTTCTTAAAATTTCAGAGTCAAATTTCCGAAGACAGCGCCATCTCGGGTTGTTCCACCCCTTCGACCCCCACCAGTCCCATCGATTTTGAAATCAAAATAGCAACAAACGAAGACAAAGAGAAAGTACGCGAATTTCTCCAAAAATTTTTCTACAAAGACGAACCGCTTAATTTGTATCTGGGTTTAATTACAGACGAAAATCCGAGATGTATGGATCTCGAAAGGTTTACTCTCAAGGACATGGATAACGGAGTTAATTTATTGGCTGAACAAAACGGGAAACTGATTGGAGTTTGTCTTAATGGTATGTACATATAGATTGTCCCAAAAATAATCGTAATTCATTTATAATTGAACCATGTATGTTTTTTTTTAAACTTTAATGATGAGTTTGAAAATTGTTGGTTTTAAATATTCAAAGATGTCACTTTTTTCTTTTACACTCACCTACTTCACCTTCTATGATTACTTTCTTACAGAGCCTTTGTTGCTTTATCCTGGTTATGTGTTTAAGCTTCTGTATCTTAGTTCCTGACTTTTCTCCTCCACTTTTCATTTTCCATACTAGTTCCTCTAAATATCCCATACTTTCAGCTTAGCTTCAATTCCTTCGTTAGTAGCTAGGTTTCATAGATAGGTCCGATTACTGACCTGTATGTTCTAGTCTTCGCTGCTCTCGATATTTCTTTAGATCTTATGAGCCTGCGTAAGTCACACATTGTGTTCCTTCCTTATAATTCACCTATTTTCTTCCTTTCATTCTTCACTTTTACTTGTTATTTTAATAGTCTATCCTACTTCTTCAAACTCGTTTATCATTATTAGTATTGTTACATTACAAGTCAATATAAGCTGCAGTTAACTACACATTTACAGTACTGGTGAATCGAGTTAAATATCTGGGAAAAGGAAATATCGAGAAAAATTTATGAAGGAACGTAAAAACAAATGATAGCTGGGTTCTTATCGGGCAAACAACGAAATTTGCGAACCAATGTAACAGATGTAATACGATCGAACAAGTTGCTATTGATTGAGTCATTTGGAATGGATGAAACAAAACACAGATGTTAAAAGTATAACTCTTAAAATAGGTACCAGAAGAGAAGAATAAGAGGGCAAGACCGAGAAGGAAATTGAAAGAAGCAAGATGTTGCCGAGAAAAACTTACAATATAAGCTAAACTAGTCTCTAAAAACACCCAACCTTTTACAATTCCACTATCTCTCTTGAAAGGTTTAGGAAATCTCTTTATATGAATACTAACCATCCCATATTAGGTAAAGGTTTTGTTGTTTTATTATAGATTTATTGTTTTAGGAACCTTTGAACGAGGAAAAATGGAGAATTTTGAATGTACGGATGCGAAATTTTCGAAAATTGTTAGCTTATTAGATTACGTTGCAACTGAATCAGACCCTTTCAAAATATATCCTGGCATCGATAAAGCAATGACCGTTAAAATTTTATCTGTTGACGGATCTTTCAGAGGAAAGGGGATAGCAAAAGATCTCATGATAAAAACAAGGTAAGTAATATGTTCTATACATTTTATTAAAAAAGAAAATAATCTAATTATGAGCTGTCAGTTTATATTGCCTGAAGAGCGGAACCGTTTGTAGAATGACAAGCTTGTACAATTTACAATGACAAGTAGTTGTTTACTTTTATGTATTTTACTTGTGCTCGGTGTGGTTTTTCCAAAATTATTTAACCCGCAAATTGAAAAAACATTGATTTTTTCTTTTAAAGTGGAAATAATCAATTCAAAACAGAATCTAATTGTATAGTCAGAATAATCTACTTTTTGGCCTTACCAGTCATTAAATTATTACAACATCCTTTTTATTCACCTGATTAGGACCCTTGTAATTTTTTCTACGATCAATTTTAACATTAATGATGCTGCATCTGCTCATGATGCAATTATTACCTGGTAAAATTCCGAAAATGATTGTTCAAACATAAATTTAATCTGTGAAAGTAAATCATGTGCCTGAAAATGAATTTTTTATGAATTCTCACAGTTTTAACCTACAACATATTAACTATTTCTGAAAATATATAGACTGTATGGAACTGTATGCATTATTATGTATACAATTATTAATTATTTTTGACGTTTCTGTTTTTTTTTTAGAGAATTGGCGAGACAAAAAGGCTGTGGTTTTATAACAGTGGATTGTACAAGTCACTACACAGCTTGTGCAGCCAAAAAACTGGGATTCAAACTACATTACACTTTGAACTATGAAGATTACAAAGTTGATGGGAAGACTGTCTTTAGACCTGCCCACCCACATAAAGAGTTGACTGTTTATACTCAAAGAATAATCTAAAATTAATTATAAATAAGTACCTGTAGTGATAGCAAGACTTTATTTTTGACACACTGGTTACAATGGTTACAAAATAGTTTTTTTTCGATAATTTATCATTTTCTATCAGAGAATGTTGTACTAAGGAAAGAAGCTTTTCGGTAGCTCAATTATTTGAGTATGTATCTGAAACGTGGATTACGTTCCTTACCACTTAAACCACCCTTAGCAAAATTGTGACCCCTTGTCGAATGGTTTTGCCTGAGCTCTAGCACGGAGAAAAATAATTTATCCTTTCTCCATGCATGTCAATCTGCTGTTTAAATAAGTTAATGGACAGTCTCTATATTTGACTTAATCAAAGTAAAACCATATTTTTTCATTTAATTTTTCAGAGAAAACAAATCATAAGTAAATTGAAAACGATGCTTTTATTTATTGTAACTGTTGCAGCGAAAATAAAGTCGCCTATCTACTCTAAAATACCATCATGATGTTCTGTATAACTTAAAAATTAAATTAATAATAATCAAAAATGCAAGACGTTACAAGAATTACTTTTCCAAGTAAGAAGATTAAATAAATATTGACTTTTAACTATACCACCCCACTTTATTGTTTATTATATATATGCTGCGTTTGAGAATCCACATCGGATGCATTTTTTACATCTCGAGCGTTTTTTTATCCACATCGGACACATCTGTCCCATTACATTTACGTATACTGAATCACGTGATCAAAGATTTTTTACATCTCAGATGCATCCGATGTGGATTCTCAAACGCAGCAATAGACTACACCCCTCACTAAATTGTACTTCACAGAAAATTCGATTAATGCTCTTCAAAACATTTTATTTAAACATTTTTAATTTTGCAAATCCACAGTTGTATTTTTTGCGCACTCTGTACAACAAAATCGAAGTTTCACAACCTGAATCTTATTTATTACACAAGCAAAAAAAATTACGAAGAATTATTTCTTTTGGAAAATTTTTACAAAATACTAGAGTTGTATAGTCTAAAGTAAAAACATTGTAGAGCTATCAGTTTTAAGTCAGAATGTATGATGTTACACATCGTTTGAAAAATACTATAGATGTATAATTATTATTTTTGTGTCACATAATCTTGTAGTATCGATAAAATTTTGTTTTTTTGAAAGAGTAATGGATTTTCATCAAGTAAAGGCCGAAACAATAAATAAGATAAAATTTTGGTTAGGTTACAATGATATACTACAAATTTTGAAGTTCTAACGAATAGTATGTCTATTTTATTCAGGACTGAGCGAGATCAGATCTCTTTCTTTTTGTTTATACCAGTTGTTAGTTGTTAATATATTAATATATTTATATATAATCAGGGGCGGCTCGTGGCCAAAAATTTTGGGGGTTAAAAGTAGCAGAATATAGATCCCGGTACAGATATAAGTAACATCTGTACTGATACCTATATTCTGTCACTGTGAACACCCTCACGAGCCGCCACTGTATAGAAGACAAGTAGTAATTCGGCTATAAGCCAAGTTTGCAGCGTTTCCTTTCTTTCTTTTTTTTTTTGGTTCCAATAAAAAAAAGCATTTAAGGATTATCTACTAGATATTTTTTTATAGAAACAGGGTATATTCAGTCTCTTCTACGGTTGAGCCCAACTCGTTGGTATAAACTCGTGATATGAACTAACAGTAACAATATTTTCTATTTTCTTCCCCCCTTTAATTTCCACAACTTTTGTTTCCTTCAGTGTATCCCTCATACCCGTAAATATTTCTTTCTTTATAGGTACTTTGTTTCACCAACCGATATTTAATTTTTATTTAAATTAACCTTAATTTTATCTAAATTATACTTAATTTTATCTAAATTATACTTAATTTTATCTAAATTATACTTAATTTTATCTAAACTATACTTAATTTTTATCTAAATTATACTTAATTTTATCTAAATTATACTTAACTCTATTTAAATTATACCTAGTTCTATCTAAATTTAGAATTAATTAAGGTTTAATCCCACAAAGTAACTATCTATTGTCTATCAAACATTTCCTCGTATTTTCTTGCTGAAAATTTATTTTTTCCTCTTTATTTATACTTTATTGTCTCCTTTATTTGTAAATAAAAAGTAGCAATTAGATCCTGTAAAAAGGTAAAAAAATGAATGTGATAATTGTTGTACCTTTAATTTTTTTATTTCAGAAAATGTATTTATATTAATAAAAGATTTTATTTCTAAAATAAAAAATTGTTTTGATCCTCATTTCCGCATTAGATTTTTAAAATAAATTTTCTTTGTCCCTTTCAAATGGGATGCCTTCTACAGACAGCTGTAAAACTTTGTCTGTATGTATTTCAAAATAAAGACTATTTTTTAAAATATAGTGAAATAAATAATATAAATACTAGAAATAAAGACATATTCAGACTACCAAATTTTAAATATGTAGTTACACACCACCATCTTATTTATATGTTTTTAATTCCCCTGTGTTATAGAAACATATTAATGTACCAAATGATGAGGGATTATTATGGTTTTAATCATTTTATATTTAATGTTGTTGACTATTCACAATGTAAATTATCTCTAAGGAAAATAAATTAATAAAAAATATTCATGAGCGCCGTCAGAACATTTTCCAGAGGGGACAAAAATGCATTTTAATATATTAATAATTGTTACCATATTATATAGTATTTAGGCACTATTATAACTCACAATTTTAATTTATTTATTACAATATATCTTTTCTATACAGCTTCGAAAATATTCTCAAATAAGGGACATTCCTCTGGTTCGTGATAACTAACCTGTGGGTGGATGGGTCAGATCATATAAAAATAAAAAGGGTCAAATGTGGTTTTGAGGGCCATCCTTCTCTTCATCTTCCTTCCAATTTTTTTATCTTCCACTCCATGTCACACATGTGTACCTCTTAATCAAAAATAGATGAATACCTAATTAAAGTTTCGTACTAAGTATCGAAGAGAAAAGCGAAAATTTTGGAAAGTTGATTTTATTTTTCTACATAGACGTTGTTAATAAAAATACAGTTTAAGAGTTAATTGTTTTTTGTTTATAATTTTTTTCTATAAAACTAGAGGTGACAAACTTCAGATTCGTGTTTAGCACCCTCAAAAATAGTGTAAAAAATATAAAAAAAAAAAAGATTCCCTATTTTTCCCTATTAACAAGCGTGTAGCTAGGTTGTTTTCTTGGGGGTAACACTTCTCAAACTATTGATAAATGCGCAGCGTGTTATCTTAGAATATGGTATCAATGCAACGTCTAGAATTCATATGTGTATTTCCAGAAAAAAGAGTTAGTATTATAACAAAGTTTTTAATTTTTTATATATTTATGCAGGGTGTTTTGAGAATAGAGTACCGTTATTTTGGGGATTTGTAGATCTTATTCAGTTATAAAGAAAAGCTAAATATAATTTTCCTATAAACGTCCCAGTTTTCATTCTACTTGATGATAAAGTGAATTTCATAAATACATATTTTCTAAATATCTTCCCTTACAGAAAGACTTTAACCTAAAAATATGTAAGTGATAGTTAATCGTTATTATTAGTTAACTTAACACACTATTTCAATAAATTACCATTTTTTTTTTTGAAAGTTGAACAATACTTATCTTTCAAAAAAAAATTAATGAAGCATTAAATACGACACCCTATAGACATATAATTTTCGATATCTTAAATATATCAAATAATGGATGTACACTGGATATGTTAAACAACTATAGGATATATCCATTGGTTACTTATGAACCTCTACTGAAGGTACCTATTAGATATTTTGCTGGATATCCATAGAATATCTTCTATATCTTGGATATAGATGGACATTTGGATATCCATATTAGATCCAGTGGATATCTATATGATATCCTGTGGACTGTGGATATATTGGATATCCACAAAAGATATTCTGTGGATATCTCTGGGATATCTTCTATATCCTGGACATAGACGGACATTTGGATATCCATATTAGATCTAAGGGATATTTATGATATCCTGTGGATATATTGGATATCCACAAAAGATATTCTGTAGATATCTCTGGAATTTGGTGTGTTGTCTGGGTTTTTATTTGTTAGGCAAAAACGAAACACCCTGTATATTCAAAAATATTTTTAAAATATGTATTTTTCAAATCCATATAACTTTTATTAAAACTTTTTTGCTTGTCAATAACACAAATTTAAATATTGAATAATTACGCACTAATGGGACTCTGTATATAAATTTTAATTTTCAACTCTTTGTTTTATTGTATTTATTTTATCTCTCTATTTTTGTTTAATATAACGTTTAAAAAAATATTGATGTTGACTATGGCTTGGGGGAATAATTACCCCCCATTACCCCCCTCTTATTTACGCCCTTGTCTATTAATTGGCTATGAAATTACATTCCTACAGAATAAAAACTTTACACTTTTAATGCTAGAGATAAATATTTTATACGTGATATAGACAACCAAATATACACAGATATGCTTTATTGGTTGCATACATTTGTTTCTTGTACTGGTAAATAGCACAAGTATTAGAAATTAAAAATTTAAAAAAACCGACTTCAAAATCGTGCAAATGCCATCACCACATCTTAATCAAATTTATATGGGATCTCCCCTGAAGTATCCCCTTACTAAAAAAAAAGAATCATATGAATCGGACAAGGTGGTAAAGAATTATCGCTAAACATACATAAAAAATTAAGAGTTTGAGAATTTTCTGATAGATCCAATTATTATATTTTGACCAAATTTATATGGGACCACCTTTGAGGTATCCCCTTTCTAACAAAAAAAGGATCATTGAAATCTGACACCGTGTTAAAGAATTATCGATGAACATACATAAAAAAATATATAGGGACGAATTTATTGAGCACCTCTTTTTTTGGAGTCAGTTAAAAATAATAGAAAATCGTAGTTGCAACAGTTTGTGTATAACAATGACTTTTAATACTAAAAAACGTTGATTGAATATATTTGTTGGGGAGAGCACATAATCGTGTCTGCTGTTCCTAAAATTTTTTGTAGGATTTGTATGATTAAAAGGATTCTGTGAAATGAATAAAACAGCAATTTTCACTCGGTTTGTATATTCATTTGTTCCACTAAACCACTCAACTTCCCACAAATGAAAGGGACTTTTGTAACTTGAACCCACCCCTATTTTAAAATTCTTTTAGAGATTCTATATAAATAAAATATATCAAAGTTTTCATTTCTCTAGTGAAATTTAATTAGTGAGTAGTTTCTCTTAATATCTCAGCATTTTTCTAAATGCACCAATTTATCAAATAAAAAGACAAAATAATTGTTTTTGCTTAACTGTTTTACTATTAATTTATAGATTTAAATTTTAAAGGGTAATAAAATTGAACTCATTTGGGAAATAAAAAAATATAAAACAAATAAAACTTATTTTATAAATTTATTGATGTTTTAACAAATTAAGCTGACAAAACACATGCTCCTCCTACAGCCTTGATTTTATCTTCAGCAGATTTTGAGAAGAATTTTGCTTTTACTATAACAGGTTGGTCAGGTAAACGGCCTTTGCCCAGAAGTTTGTAATAACCCTAAAAAAAAAAAAAGAAAAAAAAATTAAATATCTATAACTATTAAATATAATAATTAGAAAAATTAATGAGGAAAACTCAGAAAATGAACATTCTGCATCTTTTATAAGACCGCCCGTTCAACTAATCATCATTGAAAGTACAAAATTGTTATAAGTAAATAAAACATATCAAAAATATTTTGAATACTTACAGCTTTAACAATGTCAATAACTGGGGCTTTTCCTTGAGGATGGTCCTTGTATTTTAACCTAGTCTGTTCAGTAACTAGCGTCCATAATTTGTCTAAATTGATAGCTGGGCTCCACTTGGAGTTTTTCCTTAAGTGGTAATTCCTCATACCTAACTAAAAATAAATTTCAATTACAAAATTATACAGTGCCAAAAAACAGATCTTTACCTTTCCAAAGTAACCAGGATGGTACTTGTCAAAGTTTATTCTGTGATGGTGCATACCACCAGCGTTACCACGTCCACCAGGGTGCTTACGGTGTTTGCCTAAAAAAATACCAAAATTAAAAACACCTGTAATTTTATGTAATAAAAAAAATTACAAAAACTAGTAATCAATCAGAGAAGAACATGAATCAATGATTATTCATACCGCCCGTTCACAAATCATCATTTAAAATTTAACTTGTAAATAGTAGTTTACTAAAGTTAGGTTATATTGTACTGATAGTATAAAATAGTTTCTTCAAAAATTACTTACCAATACGACCATGACCATGACTCACATGTCCTCTTAGTTTCCTAGTTTTCTTCTTGTGTGTAGACTAAAATAGAAAAAAATATCAAGGATCGTTCCAAACATTTTTTGTAACATCGTTTTAAAAACATGTTAAATTATTTTTAGAAAATATATTAATGTAAACGGAACGTAAATAGTTTGGCAAAACAAATTATAGAGAAAAATATTAGAAATTATAAAGGATGAACAAAATATTCTAGAATTAATACACATCGTCACAAAATTAACAACACTCACCATGTTGACGGAATAATGAAGAAATTTTGCAGGTTTACCAACATCAACAGCAAAACACTACACAGAACCGAAAGTCAACTGTCAAATGTTAGTTTCGGCCAATGATGTATATCGCTATATAGATTGCTCACAAAGTGCTGACTGAACAGAGCCGTTCTGGCCTAAATGTTTCAAATCTAAAATTTCGACTTTTTATAATGGATTTTGAACTACCATGGTCAATTAATAATTTAATTAAACGGTTTTTAATTTCTATATAGGTTATTTGTATAATTCTTTATTTCTGTTTTTGCGCGGTGGCGATTTGCAAAACATTGGCTTAATTTGGCTAATTTAGAACTGTTCGGGGGTTCAAAAAATGATGTTTGATTGTTAAAAGTCAATATATAAGGACATATTAAGAAAAAAGCTGATTTGCTGATTTTCTGACTTGTAAGTTGCATAAAATTGCTACAAAATATTTTAATACTGCACTATTGTGAATTTCCTTAAGGCTACTCAGAATATACATAGGCAATAAATTAAGAATTTTCATCCGGTTAAAATATTTACGGGGTAACTATCTCGAAATCCTATATTAGCTAAAATTCTTATGATTATTTTTAGTAACTTAAAAGTAGATTGGGATGAGGTAGAGTTACCCTAGAGTCTAACACCATAACTCATATGGGAATGAAACAGAGTGAAATAAAGTGTCCTTAAAGTTGAGGAACTTATTATGTTTTAAACGTCTGAGTAAAAAAAGTGTACTAAGGGCCGATTCCACAGTTGTGTTAAACAAAGATTAAAATGACATTGTTAATGTAAAAAGGTCATTTTAAACTTCGTTTAACACAACGGTGGAATTGGTCCTAAACAACTTTTTGTTTAGTTATTTTATATGTCACCAATTCGGTTTTCCATCGATCATAAAATCTAATAGAGTGACAATTTGGACATTCTGCAATGCAGTATTATTACTAAGAAATAATAACTGAGATTTTATAGAGTTCATCTTGAGTTTGTTAGAAACAAATCAGTTTCCATCTTTTTTTTCAATTTCTATTGATATGTCCGCTAGAGAGTGAAAATAATAGTACAATACACTCTCATTCGGTTACATGTAGCTACAAAAGGTCATTTATGTATATTAAAAAGAGCAATGGCACCAAAACGGAAACTTGCGGTACACCATGTTTTATTTCTCTAAATTTGGAAATATTATTATTGGATACAACAGCTTGAGACCGGCCAGATATAAAATTTCGTATGAGTTCCAAAGGAATACCTTTTATGCCATAATATGTAAGTTTGTCCAGCAGAAAATCGTAGGATATACAATCAAAAGGCCTTGGACAAATCACATAACATCCTTGTTTAAGACCCTTCACTATACATTCCACAACTTCTATAGCTGTTTACTTTCTAAGTAGGTACTTATTTCTATTTTTAATTAAATAGGCCTGTAATTATCTGCACAACCCTTCTCCCCTTTTTTATAAAGTGGAATTACCTTTGTTAATTTAAAAAAGTTAGGAAACTCGCCTGTATTTAAAATTAAATTTATTAAAGCCGTCAGAGGTTAGTCCAAAAACAAAGTTTTTTTGAATACTGAACAATATTAATTTTGCAAATTGTTTTTTTATTATAAATAGAATCAGGACCATTATGTTTTGTCAAATTTGACATTCTACATTTTATAGTAACAACCTACACTAGTTTTAATAACATGTCTAAACTATCAATTATTTGAAAAATTATATTTACTATTCATAAAATGTATATTTAAATCTGTAAAAATCTTAATGACATGAAAACACAGATTATAATTTCTAAACCGGTCCTGTAAATGATTTGTTTACAACTGTGTACTCAAAATTGAGACAAAATATAAAAATTGCATATATTAGATAAAGAGGAAACCCGCTTTTTAATTTACATATGGATAAGCAATCTATGTTACTACATATCATTGGTTTTGACAGTTTTCAGTTTAAGTCACGTTTTAGAGTCATAGAATAAATGTAAAATGAAACGACAAACTTTTAAAATATACAATTAGGTTTATTCTTCAGACGCTTCATATTTTCCCATTGAAATTAGAAATTTACTAAATATTTTCTCAACTTTTTTGCAAACTGCAATACATGGAGAAAGGATAATCTGCAATATTATTGTAAACGTCATCAGTACATTATTTAGCAATATGGCAACGTGTTTGGCGGTGCTTTTGAAATGCTGTCACAATAATGTTTACTTTTTAATAGTCGAGAGTTTATCTTAATTTTGATAAAACAAGTTGCTTAATTTAATGAACATTCAAAATCAAATAAATTTAATTAATTTGATTTGATATTGTAAATTCAAAAATCAAATATCGTTCTGTTTGGTGTGATTTTAGTGAAGACCTTGAATATATGAGTGAATGAGTCGGTAATTTTTATGGAATTCCTTATTTAAATAATATATTAGTTATCAGTTAATATAATTCATAATCAGTAACGAAATTTAGTTATATTGCAACCCAAGGAAAGGAAAAGGATCAAAGTGCGCGAACGCATTGAAAGTGCAAAACCTCATATTCTACCCACCTAATTTTCAAATCAATATTTACAACTTGTAAAAAAATATTTTTCATTAATAAGATATAAATAGAACCCAAGATGCCTAACTCCGAATTGCGTAAAAGAAAGGTATAGTCGTAGAATTATTATTTTTAGTTTAGTATGCACCTGTGTTTTGTAGACGTGGGACCATTATGAGGACGTCCTTTTTATTTTGTTTGAAATCATAGTTTATATAAAATTATTTAGATTAATAGATATATTTTTGTAAAATATAAATGTATTATAATTTAGTAAGTATGTATTTTCATGATTTACATACTTAGTTGTTGCCATAACCTAAGAAATAGGTTTCTTTTTTATTTTAACAATTCAAAATGAATTAATTGATTTCTTTTTTAGAATAAACAGCACAATGATAGGCCAAACAAATCTAACACAAAGAAAAGGAAGGATAAAACAGTATCTGGAATACATACATCACTTTTATGTTTAATTTTAAGTGGTTCTATTTTTACAACGTTTATAAGTAAGTTACTGTTTTGATTTAGAATGTTGCATTCTAACATTTATTATTTTCAGTTTTATATACAGACCAAATCCCTTGGTTAATTGGACACAGAGCTATTGACAGTATTGCTAAAAGATTCTTAGGATATCATAAACCTGTATATGCTGTTGTGGTAGATGCAGGTAGCACAGGGTCAAGAGTACTGGCTTACTCTTTCCACGAGTCTTATTTTGGTATGATAAGAAAATTTTCATAGTGTTATTCCATAATGCCTATTTTTTGCAGGAAATCATCTAATGTTAGATAAAGAACTATTTGAATACTTAAAACCAGGTCTTTCTTCATTTGCCAAAGAACCAAAGAAGGTATTCCACTTCAAAATACCTACTTAATCAGTTTAATGTCAACATTACCTTTTAGGGCGCAGCAACTATAGTATCTCTTTTAGAAAAAGCCAAAAATGAAATTCCAGAAGAATATTGGTCAAAAACTCCTGTAGTATTGAGAGCAACTGCAGGTCTTAGAATGTTACCTTTAGACCAGTCTGAAAAGTTACTTGAATCTGTGAAAGAAGTTTTTAGGAAAGCATCATTTTTAACTCGCGATAATTCTGTGGAAATTATGGATGGAACTGATGAAGGGGTTTTCTCCTGGTTCACAGTAAACTTCTTATTAGGTAAGTATTTGAATAACCTAAGTTAACGATTTTGTTAGAGGATTTTTAAAGAATTATTAATTTTTATTAACCCTTTAAGTGCCCATGTCAAACATATGAGCATTTCGATTTTGTCTCTGACACCAGCTGATTTGCATTTCAGTAGGCCAGTGTTTTCTTAGTACTGTAAGTAAAAGGTAACTGCTGCTGTTGCAGCAAATGGGTTAAGCAGTGTGGTTGAGTTATTTGAAAGATATTGATATATTTTTTTTTGTATTTTGCTCATTTATTGGGGTTTAGTTGATATATGAGCTACATTAAATGAAAATAATGCCTTTATTGACTTCAAAGATGGTTTATATATAATATAAAATTACAAAATTGGGAAATATAATGCATATTTTAAACAATTTCATCTCCCATTCTATGGATTAAATTTAAAAAAAAAAAATACTTCATCAACCAGTTTATACCTAAATAGCATATTAATTCTACAAGTTAATCTCCAAGAATTGCTACAGTTCATTCTCTAATTTATCCTTTTATCTTCTTTAGCTAATGAATTAATAATTTATTGTTTTGGCAAATGCTCCTGCCTGTAAACTGCCTTAATTGCTTTCTGCTTCATAGGGCTTTTTTGAAGACACTTGACTGTGTTACAAACAGAGTCAATTGTAAATTATCAGATGATTCTTATTGCCAGGAAAATTACTTCTTTTCAAAATAGTTATACCTCTGGAATCAATTATGAATGACTGCCATTATTCTTTGATATAAAAATAAATTGTTATTAACAGTGAAAGCAAAAATGTTTTAAGGATTTTTTAATATAACATTGTTTTTGTATGTGCGCTACTGGAAATACTTCGCGATATTATGTGCCTCAAGAATATTAAGAGCTTTAAATTTATACAGAGAAGTTTAAGAAAAAAAGGTGGGAAGCTACTAGATATTTATTAAAAAAAAAGGAAATATTCATAGATTTAATACAGAATGGGGCATAATTTTTTTTTAAATTCCTTTTAAACATTTTCAAAATAAATACTTTTCGAAAGTTTACAAAAAATTTTGGTTATTATTAATTTTTCCTATTTTTTCCTCTTTGATTATATTTAATTAGCAACATTATACATTTCATACTATACATCGCTGTGATCATGGTTCTTCTGCATATCTTTAACCAATTAATTTAGAAGAAACAAGTCATATTTATACTCTGCGATTTATCATTATTCTTTGTTACTTTCTTACTGTATTATTGAACAGTTAAATAAAATCCCAATAAAAAATAATACTTGTCATAGTCAGACTTTACTTTCTTATCAATGTATCTTGTAATTTTGTTTATTTTAGATAAAGAAATGGATTGTTATTGAAACTGTATCTGTTTGTTTAAATACCTAGATATTAAATTTAAAAACAGAGCACCTTAAAATATTTTAATATATGTTTACAATTTTTATTAACACTGTAAGCATGATGAACAATTTAGGCTTGTCCCTGCCATTATTAAATTTTCTTTTGACATTTTTGACCTTTTATTCAAAATGTATTGCAAAAAAATTGAATAGAAAGAAATTACATGAGAATCCCACTGCAGTTTTTCATTATTAGTGAAGCCAGCTAAATTATTTGATATGTTCATCAGAGTATTTATTTAAGTATACATGCAGTGTATTCTTAATAAAAATACAACTTGTGGGGAACATAAATTATTAGCCTGATCGATTTTCAAGGTAAATTTAGAGTAAAAATATAGGGGTAATTTTGATGAAATTTAGAAACCTCAGCAGACTTTGAGCGCTCGTCATTCTCTTAATTGTCAAGCTATCTACTCGAATAAAAACCCATGGTAAAGTGTATTTATTTAGATATAATCCGGTTTTGAAAAAACATGGGAGCAAAGCCTTCAACGCCAAGACACTCTAGAGAAGCCATACTCAACCAAGCTGTTTTATGTGGCCCTCCAAGCTGTTTTATGTGGCCCTCCAAGCTTTTTTGCGGCCCTTCAAGCTTTTTTGTACAGTCCCAAACATGATTATTAGTAATTGAAATGGTTGACTTACAGTTCTGTCCTTTTCAAAGCTTATTAAAACAACATGAGGAACTTTTTTTTTAGAAACATGTAGTAAACTAAAACAATATGATTACCGAAAAATATTGTGATCCATGTAGCATAACAAATAGATTTATGTGGCCCGAAAGAAAAAAAGGTTGGGTACAGCTGCTCTAGAGAGTGTGTTCAATATATATTTCTAAAATACTGATTTTTTTACCTTAATCTAAACTGAGATCTATATTCTGTCATTGTGAACCGCTAATATTTAGCAACACTGCAATCGAAATAGGAAATCCACATAATTTTTACTCGTGAAACTTGTAATTGATAGTTGCAGACAAGCATAAGTTAGTCATCATCTTTAGCATGTTCGTAGTATAGAGGATTGGTTTATATTTCATTACATACGGTTTTTTCTTTTAGATAGACTCAATGGAGACCCTGCCAGCACAGTAGCTGCATTAGATTTAGGTGGCGGTTCAACACAAGTAACGTTTGCGGCAATGACGCCAGTTAGTTTGAAGCAAAATGACAAAATTCAACTTGTAGCTTCACCTAGAGGACAAGTGCCAGTCTACACTAACAGCTTCTCTGGCCTGGGGCTGATGGCCGCCAGGCATGCTATAATCACCTTGAATCAAGGAGATGCTGTCAATGTTACCAGTGAATGCATTAATCCTATTATTAAGAAAAAAAAATTCCATTACCATGGTAAATAATAATCATAATAACATGTCAACTATCACAAGCATGAATTTTCTTATTTTAGGTACAGAATATTACGTTTCTGGTCTACAAGAAAACTACCCCACCACAAATATAAAGGGTACTAACATCAGGATAGGCGAGATAGTTCCTATTGTTAGTTTTAGCGATTGTTCGAAATTAATTAGTGATTATGTGAGGACCAAAGCAAGTCCTCCTGAAGAATTACCCCTCAAGACGATTTTTGCATTCAGTTACTATTTTGACAGAGCCACTGAAGTAGGCTTAATAGGTGAGTTTGTTGCAGTGATGCCAAATGTCAAAATTATTGTTTGTAAACATTTATAAAGTTCATAAAAGTGATCTGAACTATTATTCTTTATTATTAACTGGAGGAAAAGCATGGAAATGATTTTATGAGTGCAATACTTCAATAAAACTGATTAAATTCTAAAAAAATAACATTAAACGTTGCCACATTTATATAAAGTTTGTTAATTTGAACTATTTAGTCAAGTCATTAGCTTTAAGAAACAAAAAAATTGCTAAGAAGTTTTTTTTCTTACTTTAATATACATTTTTTTTAGACGAGTCTACTGGTGGTAACGTATTACTAAAAGACTTTAAGAAGGCTGCCGAGAAAGGTAAACACATTTTGATATTAGTTGAAAATTAAATTTTTGATACATTGGCATTAAATATTTAATTGAAAATTATTTTCAGTGTGTCACGAAGCAAATGCTGAACAAGCCTTCATGTGCCTAGACTTGACTTTTATTTGGGTGCTTCTAAATGAAGGTTTTGGATTGAAAGATACTACTCAAATATTCGTAAGTCACTATTTAGAGTCGCTAATAAAATAAAAAATGTTGATAATGGGGTCTATATTCAATGTTGTTCCTGGTTGTACAATTTAGTGTATAGAACTGCTCAAAAGTCTACCATTCGTTATATAATATATGTTTTCAAAGTAGAGTGTACCATCCTTTTTCTCTTATACTTCCATTTATTGTCATTTCATAAAAAAATACTAAATCACACACAACGTTCTATAATTTGTTCGACCTGTCTTTGGCAGACGTAGAATTACTTTTAAACAATGCAGTAAATGCCGATAACTGCTGATTGATTTGTATTGGCCAGGTGATAAAAGAAGAAAACAAACTTTGGGACTTAGTCATTACTGCCAACCCTACATAGAAATTATTGGTCACCAATTTGGGAAAGTGGGTCTATTGTCCACAACTGAAACTGACGTATATCACTAAAGCTTTACTTTTGACGTTTGACATCCTTTAGAGATACATACTCGTACATTTTAGACAGATTGACATCTAATAATGTTTTGACTGAAAATCTAATCCCAAAAAGCTCTAAACAATTTATGAAGCTTGAAAAATATCACGGAAGGTAATCGTCATCTCAGAATAATTAAAACTGATTGTAGACGTTTCAGTGCAGTGGTTTGTTGAGAAATAATTGCCAGTGAACATAAATAAGGTTAAAGATGCCTTTATATAAAAACGCGTTATACATTAATTAAGATGACTCCCACGTTTGCTGACAACTATCCCAATGATAGAAGAAGAAACTGACGTAAAGTTTCTAAGAGAAAAATAAATAAAGAGTAAAAGGAATAAAAAGAGAAGGAAAATGTTTATTAAAAGACGAAATTACGACAAAACTGAGAAAAATTATCAACAAAGTCAATTATTCTTTTAATCCTGCGTTATAAATGTACTATAAATGAACTGTCAAATATCAGCGTTCCTGCCGGTACTGGGCTGGTCTGGGTCATATTGCTAATAGATTTGGGTCTTAAAACTAATTTATCAATTTAAAATTTTATGACATTTACATCATATTTTATTTTTAGTTAAAATTACCAAAAGGTTCAACTCAAAATAATAATCTAATTATTTCATCAACACATATTGCTCATTTCTACGAATTTTGGGGACGTGACAGATGTCAGCATTCCATTACACATTCGTGAAATTTTTAACTATCTAAAATTAACTACTATACACGTAAAAATAATATATTTTAAGATTATTTTGGCGGTAATACAGGAAACTTTAGTCGATTATCTTTTAAATATTAACAGCCCTTTTAAATTTATTTTGTAATTCTCCCTAAAGTTGTTGTTTATGACAGTTTTTGCCAACGTTGCGGAATTTTGCATCATTAATACCTATTCAAATATTTTAGCCCAAAACTTTTCTTTTTTTAGTTGCACAAAAAAATTAATGGTCACGAAATAAGTTGGGCCTTAGGAGCGGCGTACGATTTGCTAAGAGGAGAAAAGAAAAATTAGGAGGATATTTAAATTAGACATGTGTATGTTAGTTGTACAACGAATGATTGCACCTTGTTATGTTTAGTATCAATTTTCTATTTCAATTGAAAACAGATGAAAATACTTCAAAATTATTTATGTCTTATAAATTTTTTTTCTAGTAGTGACATATCGAGGGTCAAAACGCAAGACCTTGTAAGTAATAATTTAGAAATTTTTCAGGAAAGCAAAAAACTATTTTATTTTTGTTTTAAAACATAAGTAATTATTTTTTTGCTGAATTTTTTTTTCTCAATGTGTTCCTTATATTCTTCTGCTTCTATATTGTCGTTTTTATGTTTGAAGCAGACATCACATTGGTCCTTTCTCGGTCGGAATATAAACATCTTCATTCGGTCTGCAAGTTAAATCGTAGTGATAACTGACATTGGATTTTGTCCTTCTTTTTGCATTTCCTCTTGTAGACTCTGTATAAATCCGACCATGACTGAAAAGATGGCTCCAAGTACATTCTTTTGGTGTCTTTTCAACAATAATGTGAAGGAAGCTTGTTTAAATTTTGAAGAAACTCAGTGAGAAAATTTCTGTCATTTTCAAAAATATCTTGTTTTTCTCTCCTGCTTATTTCGGTTTGGTCGCTACTTGCCGTGCCATTTTCAGACTTCATTGCCCAGGATCGTACGGACCATTGTCCGAGGCTTAGAAGTATTTAGGTACATTTTCTTACAAACAGTCATGGATTTATTACTAATAATAAAAAAGTAATCTAGTGTTTGGGATTTACAAGAGGTTTCAATTTTTTTCACGGCCTCTTTTTATCACATACTTTGACGGTATTTCCAAAAAAACTTTTCGCTTCTTCCAAATCAAATCTTTCCAGAATTTTTTGAATAGCTTTTCTCGATCCTCGTTAGAAATTAGGTAACTTCAAACTTTGTCAGCAGATTGCATCATCTATTCTACGGAATATTTCATAATAAAATGAATTTCAAACAAAATGTTAGTTACGATGTCCTGCGTTTTGACTCTCGATATCTATAAATGGTTTTAATAATTTGAAAACTGCCTAAATGTTTGTGTTTAACTGAATAACTTAATAATTAAGATATTGTTATACATTCTTGAATAATTTTTAGGAGTTTTTATTTAATTTTCGACTAATCCGAATGTTTTTGCGTCACCAGCTGAAAATTTTAGTCAATTACGATAAGATTAGCATTTAATCTAGGCCCTAGGCAATAACTTTATACCAGTGAATAAAGAAACATGCAAACTATTACAAATAAACTAATTATTGCGTAATTCAATTAAAAGTTAACCGTTACTGAAATATAAATTACGTCACACTAATATAACGTATTGGGTATACCTAATACAAAAAGGAACACCTAAAAAACAGTCTATACTCAATAATTCAAAGATAATTTCAGAAGAGGTGAGAATCTTTAAAAAAAATCACTTTGTGTGGTATTTGTAAAAATTATTTAACAATATAAACAGAACTTTTAAGTACAATTTAGTGCAAAATTAATATTAATATTTAAACAAAAAAAAAAAAACGATTTTTGTCTATTTTTGACAAATTTCACATTGAGTAAAAACACTACAAGTGTTTTCAGATACAGTTTATTTTAATTGGTATGTGTTGGAATAAAAGATGATTGTCATTGATTGATATAGAATAAAATAATCAGCAACAATACTTGCATTCATTCCATTTTCGTTGGTTTTTAAAATAACAATTTAACGTTTGACATTTTAAATAGGATTTCGTTTAACCTTTTGTTATCATTTAGCAACCATGGAATGAGTACTAATTACATTTGATAAATGCGCGATATTAATAAGTAAAATTCATAAACTTAGTATTTTAAGTTGTTGCTGGTGATACAAAAACAGTCAAATGTACCTTGGTGGATTGTACATTGTCTTTTTGGATACGAATGCTTTATCCTTGACCAAAAAAGTTACACTTACACGCTTTTGTAAGTAAATAACTATTGTATCTTTAAAAGTTCCAAAAGAACCTTTATAAATTCGTTTATTTATGAAGTGTTAATTTGTTCAGTATTACAATTATTTATACATTCCTTTAAAAATAAAATTAATTTAAATTAATTACTTTTTTGTAATAAAGTAGGATAATATAAACTAAATTCTAACGAAACAGGAAAAAAAATTTATAAAACATATTTTTTAATTTTAAAAACGCAAACTTATGTCACAAAATATACAGTCAAATCGGGTAACTTTGGACCTGGTTTTTATTATAAATCTGAATTTATTTGTTATTGTTGCACAATTTTATTGAATGATGTTCCTGTAAAATGATTTATATGAATTTTAAATTTAAAAAAAATTAAAATTTATAGTAAAAAATAAAAAAAATATATTTCTGGATGTGGTCTAAAGTATTTTCATCGGGAGAAATTACTGATTTCTTACAATTTAAAGGCTACGGGTAAGATTAAACCATATTAGTTTTAATATAGAGTCCCCAGGTCAGTTATTAGTTATAATTAATTTGTATTTAAGTATTTATTTTTTTTTACAGACAAGGTTGAAGTTGTAATTAGCTATGGGTCCTATTGTAAATATTAGGATATTTTTCCAAAGTTACCCGATTTGACTGTACTGATACGTACAATTTATATATTTTAATAAAAATTTCTCGAAAATATTAACAAAATAATAATTTTATCCTCAATTTACATGAAATCAGACAATTTAAAATATTTGACTAAAAATTAAACCTAACGCAAAGTTTGAAGTTTATTGATTTAAGCGACATGGAAAATATAGGAAAAACAAAGGAATTTTCATTTATTAAAAAAAAATTAATACTGAATTTTGAATGTTTTTTTTTGACACAATATGTCGCCATTAAAAAATACTCATTTTTATGATATAATATACTCAATAAAAAGTATGGAAGTATATTTTTCTGAATTTTTTAAAAAGTTCAATGTATTTTGTTGAAAAATTGAAAATTGATACTTTTTTGTTTGTTAATAAGATGAACATGTGCCTTATATATTATTTTTTGTTTTGTTATATTTATTGGCTGTGCAGCGATTCCATTCTTTTAAGTGTACGTCAATAACCGAGTAATAAACATTTTTAATTACTATATGGGTTTTATTTAAGTGATAATTCCAATAACAACAAACTACCTTGAATTTGAAGTGTGGCAATTTTTTTAAATTTGAACATTTATTACTTGAAAAACTTTCGACGATTGACCAAAATTATTTCCATTTCCAAAATATATAAATAAAAAAATTAATTAATACAATTCAAAAATTGTATCAACATCAAATTAATAATAAATTTAGATATTTAAAAAGATTAAAGTCTTAATGCATAATTTATAATGATTTTGATGCAAGATAATGATTTTCAAATTCAAATTTTTTTTTTATTCCAAAAAGTATAATATTACTAATTTCAAATTAATAATTTCTTCATTAAATAAAACATCCTGATAAACCCCTGTACATATATTTTTAGATTTCAAGCTCGCTTACTTTTTGAAAAACATCCAATTCTAACATATCAACAGATCATAGTCCTTGTTAATATTTTCGTTATATTTTCATACAAACTGTTTCTTTTTTCTTCTCAAAACCTCTTCTAAAATTATTGCTATAGCTAAACGATAGGAATCATCGAAGTTTTGTCTTTCAAAAGTATCCCCACGTAGACTAGACTACGAGCCGCCATTGGTTTAAATTCTAACATTTTTTTTCTAAAAAATGTAACACTTCGTTAATTATTGTGGCTATGTATTACGTGGGTAATCTGTGGTATTACGTTATTAAATTGTTTTAACAGAAAGTAATATTAATGGTATTTTTTATTATAAATATACCTCAGAACGTGTCATTTTGTTTTTTTTTTGTAGAGAACTTAGTACATTAATTGCGTTAAATACAAGTAATGTTACTTATAACAAAGTGTGTGTGGAATCTAATAATATTGAAAAAGTTATGAATAGGGGAAACTGCAATAAATTATTAAAGAAATAGACATTACTTTTCTATAATACCAATTTCCATAATTAAAATCAGGGCACTACAAAAACAGCAAGAATAATCATAATCAAACAATATTTTCATTGTAACGAATGACTTAAATCGTTATTAGAGGCAAGTCAAAAGTTACTGAAAATATACTTTTATTTTTTATTTTAATAAAGTAGTATGTCTTCACAAAGAAAATACTAGTAAATGGAAAACTACAAGGTTCTGTGATGAGCTCTTATAATTGAAACAAATAGCAAAATAATTTATGTACAAATTCGAGAATTTTTGGTTTTTCATATTAATTAAAATAAGTAAAATATCAGTACCTACATATAATATTCATAATGGAACATAATTATCTAATGACAATGATATACAGTACTTATTATTTTGTAGACATAGCTGTGCTTTTACAGCAAAGATGTGGCAACTATGATATCCCCGCTATCGCTTTTTAGCTTTGCGCCTCATATTTGGTTCGGCTAATATAATATCCCACCATTATATCTTCTAATTCTAGTCGACGACGACGACTGGCTGCTGTCCTGTTGCCATTTTATTAACTTGTATACTAGCCGTATGCCTAACACGACTAAATAAGCACAGTATTATTAATTTTGTAATTATTTTGTATTTGTTTTTGATCCGAATAATTCTCCGTCACAGATTTATTTTAATATTTTATTTCTTTGTGTTCACATTTTTATAGGACATTTCATTTTCCTGATACTCTACTAGGAGCTATCCTCCTTTTCAGGATGGTGCGCCCTGATTATAAATTTGTAACTTATTTTCCTTGTATATTGTCGCGTGTTGTGGATTTCCAATAAGAATCGCCAATTTTGTTATTTTCAACTTATTTTGGAGCAAATCCAAGTTAAAGTGGGAAATATGATTTAAGGAAACAACGAAAACTTAACGGCAACTTCTTGCGGTCTTGCGATGGCCTAAATCATGTCTGACAATAATATAAATTTAACTTTTATATCTATAATCTTAGGAGCACCTCTAGGGTCACATCTAGGCCCTCTATATTTTAACTTACTTATTTACATGATATTACGTCATAACTAAATGAAAGTATTGAAAGTAGAAGAGATTGTGAGACGTTGCCGGAGATTATGGTTCCATTATATGAATATTGTAGGACAAATTTGTCTAGTTTTAAATAGTGATAAATGTAATAAAATAACAAAAATATCATCAGAGAAGTTTCTAGTATCAAAAATCTTGGAGGGTAAGATTCAAAGTTTAAATTGTGACATTCATATACAAAAAAATTGTCTAGAAATATTTAATAATTTTAGATTTATTCTCAGAATACAAAAAAAAGTATTTTAGTATTATACATATAACTGGATGGTTAGAATAAGCATTCTTGAATATGGGTCCTGTTATTATAAATACATCAGTCGGATAGGAGAAGTTCAAAAACAACTAATAAGACATTTATATTACTGGTTTAATAAAAATATAATCCTTGAATCAAAATATTTTTAGCTTCTATAAAATAAACAAACTAGTTTCAAGTAGTGTTGTTGCTCATATTATATTTCTTTATAAACACATAAAAAAAAATATTCTAATTACACATCCCGCTCAACAACTAGTCTTTTTTTTGTTATAATTCAACGTTAACAAACTATGGTAACAAATCTCTGATAATAAGAAGACTACAATACTGCTGCAATCAATACTTAAGTGCCTCAGTGTTGACTACAAAAAGTAGCACGTCCCTTTTTTTGCGGGACTATTTGTAATTGGGTACTATGATTCGGTGTTGGGAGCGGTCATTTGACCTGTGAAATTCAAAATAAAGTTGCTTATCGATGGATTTTTTTAAATATATGCTTCTAGAGATCGATAACAAAATAATATCTTTGTGTGGTTCGGTTTTGCTATTTCCGGTGTAGTACTTCCGGCCACATATTTAGTTTTTCAACATAATTCAGGATCTAGCTTAAACGTGTTTTTTTTTTAAATCTAAGATGATATTGCAATCAGTTTTTAGATCTGTTAAAGGGTTAAAATGTAAAAAGAATTGTAATCTGGCGAAAGTGGCCTGTTTTTAAAATTGGTGTCCAAAAGTGGTTTAATCACTCTCAAAATATTAGTATGACTCTCAACTCAACTACAGTCTGTTCGCTATACTTACGCGGGTTTCGGATTAACAAAATTATGCAAATTAGTCATTGTCAACCAGTTCCAATAAGCCTCTTCCCAAGAAATTAGGTAAAATTGCCCTAATGGTCAGATTTAAATTAAAATAACATTAGGGTAGGTACTAAATTTGTTACAAATATTGCAGTTGAATTGATTCTTTGCAAGTGTTGACATTGAATGTATATTGTAAATTTAGTGAAAATTTTAAAAATGCCTAGACGTGTGTTAGATGTAGCTGGTCTAATTTGTAGTGTACATAAGTATTTTACGGATGAAAAAGAAAATGGCGGTCCTTTATAATCGGTAATGTCTGTACAACAACGCGTATGCGATGCTCTAGGAATTATATATAGTAAAACCAAATTAAGAGGAGTATTACAAAATCACAATAGTGAACTGCCGAAAGAAGATCACCGCAAAACTCGCCCATCATTGAAAACGAAAGATATTCCAGATGGAAAGAAATTTGAAATTCGTGATACCATTTATCAAATGAGGGCCAACAAGGAACATGTGACCTTAAATACAATTCTCTCGGAATTAATAGATAGAAAATTTAACGACATTAGCAGAACAAGTCTATGGCAAGTGATACATACTTTGGGTTTCAAATTTCAAAAGGAGGATAACAGAAAGGCCCTTTGTGAAAAAAGTTCTGTCGTGCACAAGAGAATTAACTTTCTAAGAAAACATTCTAAATTTAAAGAAGAAGGGGCGAATTTTATATATTTAGACGAAACATGGATATTTTCTAGGGTTGCAACCAAGAGAATATGACAAGATGATAACGTAAAGTCCATCAAACATACCGATGGAGAAGGGAAGCAACACATAATTTTACATGCAGAAGGGAAATCGGGTTTAATAGAAGGTGCTGATTTAATATTTTTATCTAAATCAAAATTCAGTGACTATCACGATAATATGAACACAGAAATGTTTGTAAAATAATTGCATGAAAAACTTCTCCCAGGTTTAAGTGAGCCCAGCGTAATTATTTTAGACAATGCACCTTACCATTCTGAAGTATTAAACAAAAGTCCAACGAATTCTTGGACGGTTGATAAAATTAAAGAATGCTTGACAAAGAAACATACCATTTCCTCAATATATATTAAAATCAGAATTATTACGCTTGGCAAATATACACGCAAAACCAAAAACCTTTGTTGTGGATCAGATTATTGAAAGTTGTGGTCATCAAGTTTTACGTCTGCCACCGTATCATTGCCAGTTTAATCCCATCGAATATATATATGGGGAATAGCAAAACAATATTATGACCATATTGGGCCTAATGGTTATAGTGACGACGCAGTTCGGAAAACTTGGCGAAAAGCACTTTCAATTGCAACTTTAGAAGTGTGGCGGAACTGTATATCCAATTGCGAGAAACTAATAGAAGAAAATAAGTCCAATCATAATAACAATTAATGGTGATGACAGTGATGATGATGACGATTATGATATCTTGGATGATAATGACTGATTTTCATTTTTGTTGACAAGTTCAATTTTTTTATTTTTCATTTGAAATTCTCTACATGGAACAAATTTTTATGTTAGAAAATATTTTATTTGAGCTAAATAACCCTCTTATTATACATAGACCATATTTTCTGTGTATAGTGTAATATACAATTATTATTAGGTTTATAATAGCCACATTAGACTCCATTAATGAAGAAGTTTAATTCTGCTCTTAATTATACAAAAGATTCTCCATTATTATTTAATTAAAAAGTTGTACATTATTTTTTTCATTTAACCAGTTGATATTTCCCCAAAGAACAGGTCAAACTTTCGGGTACTTACCTGGAAATACTCATAAAATTTTTAATCCGAAATCCGCGTAAGTATAGCGAACAGACTGTAAGAGTATTGCCCTTGAAAACCTTTTTTTATCAAGTAGTTCTACCCCATTTGTCATAAATTAGACTATTTTGACATTTTTTTCTAGGAAACCCAGGGTAAATAAAAAATTGCAAACATTTTAAATTAAAAAATTAATGTTCACAGTGCACTTGGCATTTTTGTTCTTAAAAAAGACGCTAAAAAAAGGACTTTTCTATTATGGCTTTTGGCAAATCCAATACTGTCAATATATAGCTACTTTAAATAGTAAAATATTCTATAGAAATAATAGCAAGATTTTCTAAATCCTTTTAATCCATTGTAAATCGAAAATAATTAATATTTTATTAATTTTAATTTAGAAAATGATTTCCCAGCTGTAGGTACAGAAATTCTAAAACATAATAATTGATCTTAATTTTACTCTTAATTTTCTATTGGCTGCATGAAAAAATCTTTAAAATTAAATAAAATTCTTCATATACATATATTTTTAAATAGTTCAAGTTTTTCAAAATTTCTCAGAAAAAAGTTATAAAAATGATTTTGAAAAACTGACTCCAAAAATTAAGAATTTGATGATTTTCCCATCAACAGATCTTTACCGAATTTATATGGGACCACCCCTGAGGTACCCCGTTTTTAATAAAAAAAAAAGAATAATAGTAATTTGAATTGGATAACGTAGTAATGAATCATCGCTGAACATACATAAAAAATATATTCCGACGAATTGAGAACCTCCTCCTTTTTTTGAAGTCTGTTAAAAAAATATTCCGATAAAATGAAAAGTTTAATAACTAAAACAAAAATTCGTAATAAATCGCTTCCAAAAAATGTCCACATTACCCCTACCTGAACTATCCCTACCTCGCCATTCTTAAGGGACATCACGCGAAACGCATCATTTACTTCGGTACTTCAGAAATATATGTGGACCGGCCTTGACCATGGTACCCTATATCAAGCCACAATTTTATGCCCGTACATAAACGCACGCTCTTTGCAATTGTTGACATTCTGGTAAATATACTCATATCTGAAGAAGTCAGTCTGTTAGAACCGGTACCCAAACATTTAAGTACCTTCACAAACAACAATTAAGGTGTCCTATCTCTAATTCTTATCAATTAGTGACAATAATAATTTTTGAGTGTGCTGTTAGGAATATTTTGAAGGGTTTGTGTTGTGAAATTTGTTTGTGATGGAATTAGATGTACTTGGTCCCAAATTTAGGGTTAACAACACTTTTGATCACATTGAATTTCAAAATGTCTCATTTACAACAAAAGAGAAAAAAGGTGAGTTTATTTTATTTTCATTAAATTTTTCAGAGTGATTTTAAACAGAAATAAAAAATGAATAGAAACAAGAAACCCAAAATATAACTCCAGACTAAGATTAGATAATAGCCTTAACTATGAGCTATAACAATCAAAATAGTTTAATAGTCCATAGGAAAATTTACCAATTACAAAGTACTTTAGCAAAATAATTAGATGTCTGTTCTATATATTAACAATTCTGAGCAATAACAGTGGTGCGACAGCTAAATAAAAAGAAGGTAGCTTCTAATAAAATTTAATGATAATTAATTTTTAATTTTGGTAGTTGTCGATGTGAGTTTTAAATAAATAATTAGCTACAAATAAACAAATCCTATTATTTTTTACTTGGATCTACGGTTACATCATTATGTTCCCTAATAACCCAAGGGATAGAAACTTTTGATGCGTTGTTATTGTCTCAACAGAAAATAAATCAACGCTGTTCCAGTCCTTTTGTCGGAGCTGATCATTTAAAATTAACAGACCTTACATGTCCACAAAAGGCAATTAATTTACTTAAAGATCATTCAATCGACATATACTCGTAAATTCGTAATAACTTTTTGTATGAAGTTATATTTTTCACTAATATATAAAAGAAATATAATATCTATTATTTTGACTGCGATCTATATTTTTTCTGCAGTTTCATTGATTTATATAAAAATATACTAATCGAAATTCGTTATAATTTAAGATATTTCGCGAAAGAAAAAAACAATTAACAGAGGTTAACTTTTAAAAGGAATAAATCAATTTAAATTCATTCTCATCTTCCCTGAAAAAAGGCCAATATTGTGTGGGGTTGACTGTGCAAAGCAAATTTAAGAAAAATCTATTAAGTCAAAAACGCCAAATATTTTAATCTGCTTCTTTTTCTTTGTAGAAAGATCAAAATATCGGTTATTTTTTATAGATATTGTAGCGAAAAAATTGAATCAATATATCTAATAATAATAAATATTACTATGACTATTATTTTCAGTACACATTTGTTATATTATTTGCAACAAGTATTAGAAATTAAAAATTAAAAAAAACCGACTTCAAAAACGTGCAGATGCCATCACCACATCTTAACCAAATTTATATGGGACCACCCCTGAGGTACCCCCTTACTAACAAAAAAAGAATCATATAAATCGGACAAGGTGGTAAAGCATTATCGCTAAACATACATAAAAAATTAAGAGTTTGAGGATTTTCTCATGGACCAAATTATTAGATTTTGACTAAATTTATATGAGATCACCCCTGGGACCACCCTTTCTAACAAAAAAATAATTGAAATCGGACATCGTGTTAAAGAATTATCGCTGAACATACATAAAAAAAAAATATTGCGACGAATTGAGAACCTCCTCCTTTTTTGAAGTTGGTAAAAAAAATAAAATTAGGCATTCCAACGACCTGTCAAACAATATGTGCCAGTGGGAAATTCTTGTATATCTAAAGGGGTAGCGACATAGTCTTGCAACTTTGACGCTATTTTTATTCGAAGTAGTAGTTGCCAAGCCTGCCAATTTATGAAGAAATGTGTAGGTAGGTTTTTTAAATATTATTTGTATTGTGTTTGACATAAAATATTTAAATGTAATCCATTATTCATGATTTTACGTAAAGTAGATAGAATACACCGTATGTCGCCACCCTTAGATATACCAAACCTTCCCACTGGCAATTCATTTGTTTGGAATGCCTAATTATGTAAATATTATTTTTTCAAAAATAAAGTCAAACAAAGTTTTGGAACAATGATTAATAATGGAGTGAAATAAAAAACAGGACACATAAACGAAATTACAATCAACATCGTTGTTTTTACAAATTAAAGTTAATTTATAAATAAATGTTGCAGGAAAAGTTAAAACCTTTAACAACAGAACATTTGAAGTACCTAGTATCTGAGTTTCTGCGAATACTACATTTTCAAATCTTCCGGGAGAGGATCCCCGAACTATTTAGGGAGTATTTTATCCCCTCAAACCCACACAAACCAAATTTGACTACGCTACTGATTATGGTAAGACCGTACTAGCGAGATTTACCGGAAAAACATTCACACATATTTCTTAAAACGTTGAAGAAGCAATTTTTTTATGAAATTAACAGCAATGTTGCAAAACACTGTAATGTATTGAAAAAAATATCCTATATAATATTTGTAAGTTTACAATCATATCATATTCGCCCTTAAAAACCTAAGTTAGTCGTCAATTTGGTTTAATTCTATAAACATCAATATAATTTTTTGTTTAAAATTATAATTAAGTCTTAAACAGTGGCGTATCGTATAGGGGACCATGGACGACGACCCCCTTGCTCCTAGAGTACCTTAAGCGCCCCTCACAGAGGTTTGGGGCATTAAAAATGCTTCACCCCTCCGTCCTTTGGCCCACGCTATTCGACTGATCTCAAAACCATTATTTTATTTAATTATCTGATCATATTCTGCATTTTTCCTCAAATTTTTTCATTACGGTCCATTTTAGAGAAATCATGTACATTATAAAAATTATAAGAAATGAAATCACAATCAAAGAAATGTCTTCTATAATCATAAATAACAAAAATATACATTAAAGTGGAAAAAGTATAAAGTAGCCCCCCAGATGCCTTGCAGGATGGCCATTAAAAACTGCCCGATGAATTTTTTTGTGTCAGGAGTTTATTAAATTTAATTTATTCAAATGTAAACTGAATGGACATTTTTATTGTTTTTATTTGTTTTTATTTTAAATATATAAAAATAAAAATGATGTACTTTTGAATCAAACTTGTTTACAAATTAAAATTCAATAAAATCGCGGACTCTTACAGAGCCATACATCAGTTCTTTCTTCAAAAAGAGGAAACCCATTCAAGATCAAACTTAGAAACAAAAAAGTAAATTTAACTATATAGGATGGCCCATCGAAAACAAAACATATTGAATAGAAAATAAAAACCGTTAAAATTCAAAGGAACACCTTTTTATTCACTGATATATTATTATGTAAGTGTTTCTATCCGATACTCGATTGTCTTAACCCTTAACTGGTCCAGCACTCTGCCAGTAACGTAGTCTTTGGGACTACTTCTTTTCGCAGGGCAAAAAAATAAAATAGTCAAAATAAAATGTTTTATTTAATATAGATGTTAAAAACATTACTTAATAATAATAATATGTAAAAATAAACATATTTAAAACTAAATAAGAACAAAATTTAACCCAAAACTAAAACCCGCACAGAAATTTTGAAAAAGTACATATTTTTAAACGAAAGGCAAAAAATACAAGAAAAAAAAGAAAAATTCTTTCATATTGCAATAATAAATTGTCAAAGGGCCAGGTAAACAAAAACTAGTAATATGGATATATTCCGGATAATAATAGTGTAATAATGAATTATAACATCGTATTGGAATTTATAATCCTATTTATGTAAAAATGATTGAAACATTGGTTCATCCGTTTAATAGGACATTTAAATGAAAATTGGTATTAAAAAACTATTATTAATAGTAATAACTGACATAGAATAACAACTACACATTATTACAAAATTACCAAATATTATACTCGGAAGGAAATGTTTTTATTTCGTCTAATTTCAGTGGTTAGTTGTTGCATTTTTGTTCTAGTTGAATTATCTTATCTGACTTTGTAGACGTTTCGAATTTCAATTTCAAACTGACACATATATTATGAAGTTTCTGTCTCTTGATTTATTAGAGAATATAAAGATGTTCCAAATATATTATATACACGGGATATCGCCTAAATCAATTAATGGGTTGTTTTCCAACAATTTAACTGCAAGCAGACATACTATTCATATATAATTACAGACTTTTATTTTTTGTTACCTGAAATAAAGGTTGGAAGTGACATACGAGTAAAACAGGTGACAGTTGAGTTGGAAAAAATTAAACTTTTTTATACATCCATTTTTTGAAAGTATTCCAATTTCGATGGGCCACCATGTATACCTATTCGTAATTATAATTACAATTCTGCAGGAATTTTAATTAGATACCTGTTTTTAAATTATAAAGATAAAATAAAACCTTTTAAATAAAATTAGTAAAACATTAAACATAAAGATAAATTATATTAAAGGACCAGCAAGGATAATAAATAATATTCTTATTTATAATTTATTGACAATATTGCTTCTTTAACCTTAAAGTAAATGAACTGTCTTACATAATACAAGATGGAATTCTTCTAACAAGGTTAAAAATCTCATCAAACTATTCAGTAAGAATTGTCCTCGTATGAATAATAGCAATTTAAAAATAAATACTGTAAATAAAGGATTAAATTAACAGTCATTTTGTTCAATTCTGCTTGATTTCTCTTTAGGATGAAGAAAGATATCTAAATTTATAGATCAGAATTTTCTTGGTTGGTGGAAATTACCCCCATTATTCTCTCCGTAGCGACGCCATTGTCGTCATTTTAATTCGGAATTATGGAACACCAATGTCAACAGGTATTTTAAAATGTTATTGACTTTAACATAAATTGGTAATAGTACTAATTTAAATTAATTACCAAAAATATTTCCGAAGTTTTTAATATAAGTAGGTAAACAATATTTTAAATTATCAAAATTTTTAAATTTATTATTGAATTTTTAATTAATTATCATATATGATGACTACGTTGATAGCTGAAAAAAAATTCCTCTTGAGGAGTGATTACTTGATTTTTTCATTAAAAAACCTAGAAAAAACATGTTTTTCTAGGTTTTTTATTTCCATGGGGTGTCTTATCAAAGTTAGACAGTGCTCTGCCTAAAGTAGTAATAGAAAACAGTAACGAAGCCTACACAGAATTATACATTTATATGTAAACTAAACTACCAGATTCATTCGTTCGAATATTCCCAGACAACACACCAAATCCCAGAGATATCCGCAGAATATCTTTTGTGGATATCCAATATATCCACAAGATATCAGAAATATTCCGTGGATCTAATATG